GCCTGCTGAATCTATGTTAAAGATTCTGGAATAAATTAAAATCCTGCCTGCTGAATCTATGTTAAAGAGTCTGGAATAAATTAAAATCCTGCCTGCTGAATCTATGGTAAAGAATCTGGAATAAAATGAAATCCTGCCTGCTGAATCTATGTTAAAGATTCTGGAATAAAATGAAATTCTGCCTGCTGAATCTATGTTAAAGATTCTGGAATAAAATGAAATTCTGCCTGCTGAATCTATGTTAAAGATTCTGGAATAAAATGAAATCCTGCCTGCTGAATCTATGGTTAAGAATCTGAAATAAATTAAAATCCTGCCTGCTGAATCTATGGTAAAGATTCTGGAATAAATTAAAATCCTGCCTGCTGAATCTATGGTAAAGATTCTGGAATAAATTAAAATCCTGCCTGCTGAATCTATGTTAAAGATTCTGGAATAAAATGAAATTCTGCCTGCTGAATCTATGGTAAAGATTCTGGAATAAAATGAAATCCTGCCTGCTGAATAGATGTTAAAGATTCTGGAATAAAATGAAATCCTGCCTGCTGAATCTATGGTAAAGAATCTGGAATAAAATGAAATCCTGCCTGCTGAATCTATGGTAAAGAATCTGGAATAAAATGAAAATCTGCCTGCTGAATCTATGTCACTTGTTAGTGTTGTCAGGGACGCCATGTTTTCCATATCGATTGATGGTATACAAAGCAATCTGCATATGTGTTAAACGGGTTGTTGTCAGGCATACCACCATTGTTTTGCACAACGTCGAACTTTGACCTTGGTCGCAAGGTCAACTGTTGGTAGTCCATGAGCCGTTTACAGAGGTGTTCTGTAACCTTTAGGAAACGACAACTCTGGCAGGGACTGCATATTTCCTATGCGATTTGGAGAGTGTTTCCTATTCACAAGACGAAGATTAGAGATAAGGGTAGGATATTTTGTAAATGAAGTAATGTTAATACGGTCAGAATATAAAATAAAGGTAGAAATAAGACGCTATGGTATAATATAGGTATAGTACTGGTAACGAAATGTTGAAAAATCGGATTGAGAATATTCCATTTTTGTACTTTTTGAAGCGAACATTAGGTGTACTGTCGTAAAATCGAGTGCTGCAAATGCTTTAAAAAGTTATTATTTATTACAATATTGTCAGACAAATGCACCGACAGGTAGACACGTCTGTATTGCTGTGGAGTCTCACGATATCCGAGAGCCGAACACGGGTAAAGGAGAGGTAAGATGCCTTCCGGGTGTAGCTACCCGGAATCCTTGGAACTGTACTTAATCTACAATGTTATTTCACAACACAAACAGCCGTTTAATCGCTCCATATTTCAAGAAAATTATGATGAGATCTAAGTAGAAATACAACAACTAGTCACCAAATTACTAACCCTTGAATCTCAATGATATTTTTGTTATGAAAATTATTTATTTTTTATACATTGTTATTTTTTTCAAACGTAAGCTATTTTCATTAGCCTTAAAGATGTGATCAGAAAATCTCTTTCTAAACTTTTCCATAGAAAATATAAAATTCAATTCTATCCAAGTTTTAAGTACATTTCAATAAACGTAAGATATTTCGCAATGCTGGTGCCAATATCCCTTGTCTCAAATTTTGTCGAGTTGAATATATTTCAAAATCTGAATCACGCTATTCTGTATATTGTCGTCTTTGATACCTGGTTCCATTGGTAAGCGGTGACACAATGATAGGTTTGTTGACGCTGTGATGATATAGTGTGTCCTTCGTATTTGTTTATAATCTCTATTGTATTTTACAGAAAAAAGCTTTGTATTCAAAGCAGTATCACTCAAAGAACATTTTCATTCCGATAAATACGATCTAAATATTTTATTTTGGTCTACGCATGAATAGAATTTTCCTCATTCATCATACAGAGTCAGAAGCCATATTATACGTCTAAGTTGCATACTGGTTGGCCTTTTAACAATATATTGCCCTGTACCAAGTCCTGGCATTTTAATGGAGTCCTTATGTACCTGAATTGCACGCATAAATGATTAGTGATCACGATTTTTTTTATTATACTTTAATGGTAGACATCAATTCTTTGTTAGATAGAATTACATTTTTCAGTAAGTTCAACTTTAATCTTTTTCAGCCTATTCTGACGTAGTGAGTTGTACATACATAACATGTATGAATAGTTCGTGTGTTTTGTAGGTGTGTATACACAAATACTCCATTATTACAAACCAGCACCACGGCTTATCGTTTTTAATGTGTGCAAGCATTTGGCAGTGACAGTTCTAAAACTGAAAAGAGACATTTCTATATTTGGAAGTATTAATAGAAAGCAATGGCATGAATTTTCTAAATACACAGGTAAATTGAAAAGAAGAAACTTGGAATGAACGAGAAGTTTGATAAATGTTGGAGGTTTACAATGGAATGCTACCTTCCCGTAGAGTGATGGCATGTTATTTACCAATAACACGGATCCGCATGATATGTCCACGTTTAAACGGTGGAAATTGAACAGAATGTAAGTATATCACTACCTATCATTACAATATCCTATCTTGGATCAGATAAGTCTTATATATTTAGAAGTTGAAATCTCTGTTATTGATATATGTATATGTATGTAAGTATCGAAGATTTACAGTTTACATATCTGAAAACAAGTTTATGCAATAAAATCTACGATAGAAGTTTACAATGTTAATTGACAATAATACACATTTAATGGTTTAAGCGACTACTTTGTATTGTTGATTCTGAGAATTTTTTTCCTTTCGGGTGTATTATACTATACATTATCTCAGCTTTTGTACGTGTCAAGTGAAGCGTTTTACATTCATTTTAAAACCCAAGATGATATACAAATATAGGTTTAGTAGGTCATTCCCATTACAGTTTACCACTGATCAGACCACTGTGTGCTTTCTCTGTTCTAGATTAATGTGGAGAATTGAAGTAATAGTAAAGGGACAATACCCATCTATTTAATGAAAATACAAACTAATTCAAACCATACCAATTTACAGTCTATATTGTTGTGTTGTCCTTTTTATTTCGTCAAAACATTACGTACGAAGTCGTACATGTAAACGGCGCAGTGTTTTTACATTGGAAAGTTTAGTGTTGCATTTATAGTAAATTGAAAAAGGTCAGTAGGAGAAAACTGCGATCATAAAAAGTAAACTAAATATTTTTTATATTCAACAATGCTAAACTTCAAAATGTAAGGCGACTGTGGTTTCACTGCAATTTTCATTTCGCCGTGGTTACGAATCTAACAAAACATTTATGATATTTCCTATTGTATTTACTTATGTACATAACGTAACCACTTTTGAAAAAAAAATATTTGAGAAGCGTTTGAAATTCGCAATTTCTTTTAATTTGGTTTAATGATTCTTTCGCAAATTAACGCGAATGCGTATAATACACAATCTGAAGTATTGAAATCTTCGTATTCAAAAATTCCATACAAATATTACAGACTGTTATGTCAACATGATGTTTACATACACTATTTGATATTGACAATAACAGACTATACACGTATGGTATTTGACGGTAAATATCTGGAGTATTGATAAGGTGACGCTTTTTGTGATTTTAAATCTTCAAGGCCCTCTCAATATCACATAATTGTGTGTTTTCACCCCTAAGTATGAGTAGAATAGCTTGTCCTAAAAACTGTACTTATCACCCGTGTGACTTTTGCACAATCTTTAATATTGCAGGTGGTAGACACTGCTGGTGGAATTTTAGTCCCCGAAGTTTGCCTTAACCTACACATTTAAATGAATTCGGATAGAGGCATCGTTTTATATTATTGTAAACAAACATACAAAAGACTATTTTGGAACACACACAAATACTGAAGCGTTTATCTGTTGAATATAAAACATATATTGATGCTGGTTACGTTGTTGTAATGACTTCCTGTTGACAGGACTGTACTTATCCCACAATACATTTAAAACGTCTGTCCCTGTAAGGCTGTTTTAGTCAATTACAAGGCCGACAATGAATTTTGACAGACCGCAATTAAATACATTGTTATGATTAAATCGAGCCTTGGATTGACGAACTGTCGTTTCAGACATGGTGTCAAGCCACAATATTCAGGTCTAATTGCTAGTAAACAGACTAAAGTTGTTTTTGAATATCATGAATTGATTGAATTGGCAGCAGTCATTTAAAATAGATTTTTCCTACCTAAATTTGTTATACATATACATTTATATATTGTCTAAAACATAACCACAGCTACGATTGAAATGCCAAGTGTGTTTGTTCAGCAAAATTGCCGTCTTCTCGAGACAAAAAGACAATGATTAGCGGAGCGACGTAACGATAATAATCGGTTTGTCGAGGTGAAAAGACGTTGATTAACAGGTCGAATTCCTTCGCATCGCAAATTAGCGACATCACATTTTCATTATTTCCAGTTTCGGTACCTCGCTGCGAAATGGCAATAATTAGCAATTGACAAAACTAAACGGCAAAACTGCAGAAATCTGCCACCATTGTAAAGCAAATTTGCACTGAGGTATGAAGTGTGCGAGACAGCAACAGATTCATAGGACATTTGGGCTGTAATATATCCTTATGTACAATAAATAGGATGGAAGATAATTGATGATATGGCGATACAATTATTTTGAAAGTCAAGTTGATGATCTGACATACGAACATTAGGCACATGTGTCTGATGAAGGTGACAGTGTATTCATCGAAACGTTACATATTAGTTTGGTAGTAAGTCTTGATATAAGAATTTACTCAAAAAGCGTTACCGATCTGGAGGAAACGTTTCGAAATGGTAAGAGGTCAAAGTTCTGATATAAGGACCAATTTATAGAGAAAGAAATCAAACTTAAATTGAATTGCTCACAAACGTAACAATTCCCGATACAAGAACTTTATTATGTCGTCATTCGTGGCTCCGTGTTTTATCTTACCCGAAAATTAATGTTGTATATTGCAGATCGCTTGTCATTTTGAACACAAAATGGCGGATGTGGTCGGAACGATGGCGAATGTTTCATATGGTGTCACTGTACCTGATGGTACACCGATTCAACAGAACAGTACCATTTCTCAGGACTACGATGCTGAGGGTGCCATGAAATTCACCGTGGCTGTAGTAACCATGTACAGTGTTGGAATGGTTGGAGTGTTGGTGATGGGACTTCGACACAAGAAGAAATCGAATGCCGACGTTGATAAAGAAGTTGATTATTTCATGAAAGATATCAATAAAGTCCGAGTTCGTCTGGAGAAAAAAGGCCGTTTAGATTCCATAAATAAACTTCTTACCTCGATAAATATAGAACAGCGAGAGAAAACCATAAGTGTTGTCGGATCAGGGATGTTACCATTTATGGCTTTGCCAGTGTTTATGAGTGACTGTTCTGGGCAACCAGAAGTGACGAAACCGCAGACCGTTGACTCTGACATGGATACTGACGACGGAGCCAGTAGCACTGACCTTGATAATTCTATGAATGGCGCACCTGGTTGGTATCGTCGACAGGAATCGTGTCTAACCGAGAATACCATTTTGGAATTAGATGAAAACGACAATAAGGATCTAGACGAGGAAGATTCTTTGTTAAAGTCAAACTGTATAGAGCTCAAAGAATTTAGCACAAAATGCTGACGTCACATATGGTGATAAATAGATATTAAAAACCTGACAATATTAATTCTACTAAAACAACTTAAATAACAAAAAACTTGTATGTGACATTAATGATAAAAATCACAATACTCATATTTAATTCAATGTACTCAGCAACAGGTACTTTGATATATATTGTATGTGTGTTTTATTAGAATATGTTCATAAAGAGAAGGAAACATTAACACAACTTCACTTTTTGCCTTATACTTGATATTTTGTCTTCGGACTAAAGACAGAAATTTGCCGTGCGCAAATTTAAGACATTTTCAAAGATGAACGGATTTTCTAAAACCTCAACCCCAGCAGCAACATTGTCAAATTTGTTATTTTTTAATGGATTTCCGAATGAAATATCGGCGTTGCTCTTATATGTACACTTATCGACGTCGGTAAATAAGTCGCCCCAGAAAACACGTCAACGAACCCAACAAAATGGCCGTCAAAGCGGCGGATAAAGGCAATTAATAATAATATAACACTTTAGGTAACGGCAATGACCAAGCGCAGCGGATCGGCCGAATGTGTGCTATCAACTCGAAAGTAGCAGCACACGTGACACACTGAAGGAATTCGAACTAACTCATCAGATAGGCTGAATGTGTGCTATCAACCCGAAAGTAGCGGCACACGTGAGACACTGGAGGAATTCGAACTAACTCATCAGATTGGCCGAATGTGTGTTATCAACTCGAAAGTAGTGGCACACGTGTGACACATTGAAGGAATTTGAACTAACTCATCAGATAGGCCGAATGTGTGCTATCAACTCGAAAGTAGCGGCACACGTGACACATTGAAGGAATTTGAACTAACTCATCAGATAGGCCGAATGTGTGTTATCAAATCGAAAGTAGTGGCACACATGACACACTGACGGAATTCGAACTAACTCATCAGATAGGCCGAATGTGTGTTATCAACTCGAAAGTAGTGACACACCGACGGAATTCGAACTAACTCATCAGATTCGGAGCATTATAATTAGAAGTGGCGCATCAAAAAACAAACAAACAATGAAAAAACGAAATGTAAATTTCATACCTGTACCAAATGCTTTTATTTTTTCTGGACCTATTGTTGTGTCCCGGATGATCAGCCAAGGTTATTATGGATGTCATATTTACAAATTTTGGTTTATGTTGTATTAAACATCTGTACGTTTGTGTACTTATAGTAGATTGATACAAATAGACTGTTTTTCCATATGATAACGAACTTTGGTTCTTAACTGCACAATCTGATACCCTAAAGTAACCCATGTGTACTTCATCTCCTACATTTCATTGATTGAAATATATTTTATCGTACAATTACAATCAAATAAGTTTTAACAACTCAATATCGTCTTCTCTGTATTAGTACATGATACAATGTACAATACAGCAAGAACAATTCATTAATAAGATGTGTGTAAATAAAGAAGTAGGATAGAAAGTACAGAGAAAGGAGAAAGGGAGGGTTACACTCCTGTCTTTACGTATCATTAACAGCTATGGTAGGTGCTGTGTCAAGAAGTAAATACAAAGTTGATGTCTGATAATAAGAAAACAAAGATGGATTGAAATTACATTCAACAATTTTATTTTTATTCTCGATTGTAGAGTGGAGCAATGGCCGCCTCGTTCTGGCCTTTAATCTCCTCCTTTTTTCTCCCCCATTCTCGATCGCCTATATATCTCAGTCAGTCTTCCGCGATGTTTTTGACATCACTGTCAATGGCCTTTGTCGTGTCGGTTTTTCGTACAGCCCCTGAAATATTCATAAATTCATTTTCATTTTCACATGAAATTTGCGAAATTTGTGGTACATTTTTGTAATATCATCTTTCAAGATCAACAATAAGAACGTTGACATTTGTCACAACAATTCTTCTTTGTTCAAGTATCGATTTGTCGCCATTTACCGAAATTATCGATATCATCCATTAAAATATTTCTGAAATGGTTTCAGTGAAACAGTGCACCAGTTCTACTCATTACTATATAATTAAAAAAAGTTAATTGCATTGTAAATGTAAACCTCAGAGTATGTATTTTGTCGGATTTTGTTTGGAATACCTACAAGAGAAACAACCAGATATTTACATCAATATCATTTATATGGTATTCCTATTTCATGCTTGGAACATACCTGTAATAAATTACAGCTTTTTCAAAGATAATGAATAGAATTTTATGAGAATATTGTATGTGAAGTTGTGTGTAAGCTCCATCCTGACATTCACGTGCAGTTCAATTGTTTAATGAGAAAAGTTAGCTAATTTGAGAGACAGACAAGAAATATTATGATTATGACACTATCTCACAGTTGTGCATTAATAAATTTATTGATAAGAAAACCCAGTGAACCTTCTAAGCCTGTTTTAAACAATTGTACAGCGTTCTGTTGTGTGTAAGCTCCATCCTGACACAAAGGACTGGTTCGGTGGCGGGAGAAACTGGCTGACCTATCTGTCATTTAAGTTTGAATCTAAGTCCATGCCTACACATGTTCTTGGACATGCCCTGGGCTGGTTCTATCAAATGACTCCCACTGGAGTTTTTGTGGTAACTTCGATACTGTTGTTGAAATATACTGAAGCTTTGAGTAACACTAAGGATCACAAGAGCTCGAAGTCATCAAACGTTTGGCAGAAAATGCAGAAAAAGCATCCGGCTGGCGATGACACCGACGAGACGAGACGAGCCGATGTGGAAGCCAGCACAGACGAGCAGTGGCAGGGCCACCGGTGCTGACCCACCAGCGGGAGAAAGTTGTATTTTAGGGCTGAAACATCTGAAGAAGGCTGGATACCACCTGATGACATCTACATAGAGGCTTCACAGAGGAAAGACAGCAATGATATGCTATACACAAGGGGTGTCACAGCAGAAGATCAGCATCTGTAAGTTATCAACTATTGCAGATATGATATTGAAAACTATAATGATAATTATAGCACGCCCATAAAATGTTCTGTACGTAAGTCTATATGTTTTGGGCTTATACATTATGAAACAATGAAAATACTTTCAATGCGGTTGTTATTGATCATGTTAGTTGTCATTACTGTTGCTGGCGGGTGCAAACTATCATTTTTTACAAAGATTATGAACAGAGAAAATGACATTAGGCCAGCAGTGGGCCAACGAATGTAAATTTAATTATAAGTTTTATTTCATTCAACCAGCGTTGGCCCAACACCTGAGAATTAAAGGTTGTGATTACAACAATAAGCCAATATTTGGCCAACGTAATTACGCCACCGCCAACGTAAGGTCAACGAAACGACCAACGAAACGGACAACAACCAATGTTAACCCAACATCCTATGGAGTGGTCAGGTATGTTTGAAAGATCGCGATTTCTTCAGCAGTCAAGTTCAAACCATAATACTTGTAAACAGTGTAATACTTCCAAAAGATTTCTCGTGTATCACAGCAGACAACACCTCTAAACACCAGGCTACATGATGTCCTCGACTCCTTGTTTGTATTTGATGCTACTGCATCTGGTTGTTCTGTCATGAATTCAAGCTAGATTATCAGAGCATTTGGCAGTCGACAATCAAACAAACCGCTTAGATTTAGTCCATTTTATTAAATTGTAAATCTTTTACTTAGAGTCCCCGGTGCCCACAGCCGTCGAGTCACCGGTGTCCATATGAAATGTTGAACATAAACAAACATAATTCCTAAATTCTGCAGACAATTGGTTCAAGTGGCTATTTGAAATGAATTCTTTGTTAAAATGTCGGTATGTTCAACATCAAATTATGTTTGCTACCAAAAACACACACATTTCAAAATTGAGCTTGTGTGCCGAAGTGTTTGAAATAACCGTGTAAGATTCAGCCTCAGTCATGACAACACGACTTTTTGCCGCGATAGTTATAGCAACTAAGATGGGTTAAAACTACACATATTTAATAAAAATAGACCGACACATTATTCGGGATACCACAATAAGTTACATTATATCAAAATACCTGAGTCATGGAGGCTTGCCCCACATCATAGTTACTTTTTCTTCATTTCTTCTCATCATTACCGAAAATCCTAAATTTAAAAGCCTTCCGAACAACGCATCAATCTATATCAAGAGAAAGTAAAGTTCCAACACAAGTTACTTTCGAACAATATCGTGACAAAAAACCGTGTTGCCATGATAAAAACGGTGAGTAATACACTGTTATACAGGAGTTATCTCCCTTTACAACCTCGATACTTCATTAGTCACCGTTTTGTATACCGGGACGTATACTACATTATCGTCCCTATGCACATGTAGCGGTACGTATATCGTATCTGCTTTCTCAAATACTTTTGAAACCACTGAACGAAATATATCAATATACTGGAGGACATCCTGCAATGATCCTGAAAACGGCGGACATCATTTATGTATTGATGTTTTTAGGCAAAATAAATTTTAAATAACTTGCGGCTGTTTTGTATGAACATGGACACAGTGCACTGTAATAGAAACTGGATGATAATGGTCAGTATAGATTACCCTAACCTGAAGTTTATAATCTGCCATTAGGGGAATACACGTAAAGCGCTCTATTTCAACACGATGATGATGTCATGATTTATTTATGATGGTATAAAGTCGTTTTACTTTGGTGAAGTTTTGTTCTTGTAAGAGTTGTTTCCCTTCGTACACCAAGTACTCCGTGTTGGCCTACATTATGACCTAATAATATAACCCGCTGGTGAAAAGTTATTGTCCTCGGATTGAAAGATCCCATAACTACCGCACCGTAAGAGGAAGGGCTTTCATACTTTGTGACAAACCTTTCTGGCGATACCAAACGTTTATGACCCGTTTGACCTACATTTGAAAAACTGAACCATTACACCGTAAGATATAAGTGATTCCCAAGGTGTGCACACCATTAGCACGTGCCTTACACAGTATAGTTTTAATGTCCCACTTTAAAATTGTGTTGCAACCGGGGTCATAGCTTTTCATAAATTCATCTGAAGTTCTTG